CATCCCAAGGCCATTAATAAAAGAATGCAAACATACCTATATAACTTCGACAGTGCAAAATATTGTTTGTGTCTTTGGAGCCACTCAGCACACTCTGGTAAATTACAGACAATGTCACCACTTTCCAGGAATAACAACAGATCTGGTGACTGTTTCTCTGCTTGCAGCTTGATAACTGCAGTATCAACTTCCTGCAGCGACAGAAAAGAACTTACAATTTAAATCTACATTAACCCATTGATACTGGTAACATACACTGTAAACTATGATTTTGTATTACTATCATTATGATCATTATCTTTATCTTCATCATTATATAATTTCTACCCAACCAAAAAGAAGAGTAGCTTTAAAGTCTCCTAAGATCAACACTGACAGATTATGCAATCATTGCATAGATAGTTAAATAACAAATCAATTGTGGTTACTTGCAATTGCATCAAATTTGAAAAAACACAAGATCAGAAAATGAAAAAAAAAAAACAGATAAACAAAATAACCTGAGACCTTTTTCCAATTCAAATCTGATCACTGAAAGTATCGTGTGTTCTGCAGGAAAATATTTGTCCTTTGTCATGAGAAACCTGAACTGCAGCATATAACATAAAATACATACCATTCTGTATGTAATGGGTTCTCCTGAACCACGAAGATGAATAAGGAAATTTATAAGGAATGTCTTGGCTTCGTCTATCTTAGTTTGATCTCCATGCATAGCTTGTGCAATATCAGCAAACTGATGCAGAGGTGGCTGAGCTCTCATAAAGCTGACTGTGGCTGGAAGCAATCCAGGGTAGAGGCTAACCACCTATAGAAAAAAATATATATCATTTCCCTTTTACTGGAATACAATACAAAATAATATTCTGACTTGTAAAGCTCATATAGCAAATAATGTTAATAAAATATGTTGGAAAAAGAATATACAAGAATATACATTCAAAGAGGGAAATTTTATTACCTCTCTAACATCCACTGCACCCTTGATGAAGTATTCCTGTGCTTGATGATAGAAACCCTGCACTAACTTAATAAATCCTGCTCTCTGATGGAGTGTTCGACATAGCTGATGATACTGCTCCTGGCTCATTCCTATGGCTCCACTATGCTCTGCCAACTGTACTGCTTCTTCTACTCTTTCACTATCCATTAACGTCTGTAAAAGGAAAACACTTTGGATTGTGCTCAGAATATTAAATCAAATCAATTTTCAGTAAATGACCAAAGTGAATAAGGTAAGTAAGATGCAGGCAAATTATTAGATTTACCTGAACTTGCATTGTCCATGGTTGTGGCATAAGGCAAGAAATGCAAGAACTTGCAGCAACATAGAGCTGGCCATCAAAGTTGCCCAGTAATTCACCACCAGCAAAATTCAGTGTCTGCTTGTGTTGTTGATCAATCAAGCTGTTGAAAGTCAATATTCAGTCTAAAATACAATATCATTCTTTTTTTAATGTCTGTCAGAATGTTCAGTTTTCTGCAAAATGTGGCTAAATACATAACATTCTCATACCAAGCCCAGATATTGTGATCATTCCCTACCTGTAAACCCTAATGAACTGATTTGTGATGGTCAGAATGTAAGGGTGATAATAAGAGAGAGATTTGATTCCATCTGTCCACTGAATAGGCGGCCGCTCTGATATACCTGCTGCAGTTACAAACATTCCAAGGTTTCCTGGTCCAGCTAAAAGAAATTCCTCCTAGAAAAAAATATTCATCTATTTATATACATATATGTACATAATACCTCATCCAGATAAGTGCAACAACCCGTCAAATCCCCATAATATACAAGAATTAGAAAAATATGCATCTATTTATATACATATATGTACATAATACCTCTTTTGATATAGTATTTATTTTTAGCTTTATATTTTGGCTTTTAACTGAATAACAATCAAGCCTTCTTTTTAATATTGACTTAATCCCAGTATAAGAGAGAGAACTATATTATCCACTGTACGCAGTTGAGAAATAAATATGAACGAACCTTTGCAACTCTTTTTACATGAGGGTATGTTGTTGCAGGATCATATGGGAAGAGATCTTGGCTGGCTCCAGAGTCCACATTAAAAACACAGTACTGGCCTTGACCAGCAATACAGACATAGCTTCCATCCATTGCAATGTTGACGGGTTCCGGGGTTGAGAGCTCTTTCAGCAGGGACACTCTATCTTCATGTAATGAACAGATCTGTATACATCTCCTCTTGCCCACACATAGCTATAAAATTGAATATTTAAAAATTAGTCAAAATAATTTTGTTAATTCTTTCATTCTTAAATACATGATTTTTGAAGACAAACTGTTCAGCAATATGAAAAACATACAAAACTAGTTATACTTATCTTATTAGATCAGATTGCATGATACTGGCACTTATTTCTACACACACACACACACACACACACACCACACACACACACACACACACACACACAACACACACACACACACACACACACACACACACACACACACACACACACACACACCACACACACACACACACACACACACACACACACACACCACACACACCACACACACCACACACACACACACACACACACACACACACACACACACACACACACACACACACACACACACACACACACACACACACACACACACACACACACACACACATATATTAAAAGACCTAACCTGGACAGTGAATGGATCCATAATATTGGGGTTTTCGTTGACACAAAACACGGTAACATTCTTGATTTTTGGGCCTGAGCCAATGGTATTCAGAACATCAGATTCCAACAGATATAAGTTCCCATCGCTCAGAGCCATCAGTCGACCAAGAGCTGAAGCTGTTTTCAGCTGGGTGACAGTCTTTTTCTGAAATTCGAACATATAAGATATTCCCATGTGAAAAGTGTGGAAAATACTTACTTTGGAAAAGGTTACATTAAGTAATGATTATGATGAGAATGAGAATGATGGTGAGAATGAGAAAGATGGTGACAATAATTAATAATAGAATGATGATGATGATGATGATGATGATGATGATGATGATGATGATGATGATGATGATGATGATGATGATGATGATGATGATGATGATGATGATGATGATGATGATGATGATGATGATGATGATGATGATGATGATGATGACGATGATGATAATAATAATAATAATAATAATAATAGTAATAACAACAACAATAATAATGATAATGATTACATTAATAATAATGATAACAATGATAACAATAATGATAATAACAACAATAATAATAATGACAATTAAAATATTGAAAGCAAATTTAATAATAACAACATCAATAATAATAACAATTATAATAGAAATAACAACAAAATAATAATAGTAACAATAATGATACTGGTTATATCCAAAATACTCACTGTGCCAAGGCTCTTCTGACTAATCTTGCTGGTGGAGTAAACGATCCTCCCAGTCCCCTCATGTGTTCGTTCTTCCACCAGATAATGAACAACGGTGCTGTAAAATGAACAACCACTTTTAGCACAGTTATTAAAATTCCCCAAATATCCTAAATTTCAATCAGCATGAGATGTACAGTACAATAAAATATACAAATGTAATCATCTTATTCCTCTCCTGGCCCACTCTTCTGATTTACCTCAATACTTTACAGTTCACTGAAAAATCTAAACTCAAAACACATAACATTTGCTCATACCTGTCTTCGGACCCTAAGTAAAGGTCGTTTCCACTTGCTTCCAGGCATTCTATCTGTAATGAAAAACATTTGGTAAGTAAATCAAGTTAATTCCTAGCAATGATGAGGAAAAAAACAGGCTCAGTCTGTTAAATCATGAGAATACTTAAAAATCTGTCTCCCTCTGTAACTAACAAAATAGCACCCCACTGTGCAAATTTGTATGCTTTGCCCTGTCTACTTTGCTTAGAATTATCTCAGTCAAAAGTCAAATAAGAGAGAGTTTAGCTTTTTTCTTGAAAGTTTATTAATTTTCTGAAGGTAGTGCCTACAGGTGAAATGACAATGGTGATAAACAATGAAAGCTGGACTGTTGCTTTAAGTTTATTTCCTACTAAAAATCAAATATTAATTTTAGAGGAGGGGGTTCCTAGCCAACCAGTATCACTTTATATAAAAGCCATTTTAATAATAATGACTGACTAATCTGTAGAAGGTACTTGCTGTGATCTACTTTGATTGCCTACAATGTGAAGTCTGAAATGATGCTGGCACACTGTCAAGCAACAGCCAAAGCCTCTGCCCTTTGCCTTCTGGCTAAGGCCAACAAATCCCTACAACATATATGAAGTTCCTCATTTGATGACAAATCACCAGGGAGGCTTATAAGATCAGTCTTATCACTATATAAATGGTGGAGGTTTATTGGCCTCTTCTTGAGGCTGACAGATGAAGAGGCTGCATCAACCTGCATACAAGCGTGTGCTGGATACACAGATGTATTAGCAACATTTACCTAAATGTATAGTAACTCAAAGCCTTTAAAATAAAAACTCATACGACACCTATTTCGGTATAACGGGCTCTAAGACACTTGCGTGTCCAATGCCTTCGTTATTACTGAGTTGCAGTTGAAGTTCATAGAAGATAAGTTTCTTAGAATCACTCGCTCTATCGTTTGCATATATAATTTTTTGTCTAAACGAAGGCTGTATGGAACTGGACCTGTACCCCTATTTCTTTCATTGTTGCATGGTGTTGTTACAGACGGACTTTTTATCATTTTTTTCAAATGATGTGAGCCAAATGAAAACCTGAAAGATGGTCTTTGTCAGTGGATCAGTTAACTCCCCTTATTGTTGGATATAGCTTAATTTTTTGTGATTTCTTATCTTTGTGTCTACAGCATACTCGAATCTGTATTGAAATCTTATCCCAATTTACAAATTAGTTAAACATGCCTCATAAAAGACGATACTTAGATCTGACACTTGCCATTTAATTAATATATCATACTATACGTGTATATGTAAACCTATCCTGTGCCAACTAATGTTAACTACGTTTACATCGCTTTAATTCTAATATGCAATCGACGTAACAGTAAAGAACATATTTTAGCATAATTATCTGTGTACTTTTAACGTAACAGTACTAACTTATTTCTAACTTACCTTCAGTTCAGCTCTCTCCAAAACAGACACCAAATCAAATGCTTTCAGAGCCATATTTATCCTATAGTTCTATATATGTCCTACAGTCTACCGAATTGAGTAATGTTCACTATTTCTGTTTATATTTTTCTCAGTCGATAATTAACATATTACTGCTTTGACAGTCGGCGATCGCTTATCACACCAAGGCACACGAAGCCTTGGTTTTCATTTATCTTATTTCAATTCAAATATCGAATAAAGATTGGACACTGCTATCGGCAAAAATTAATATCATATTTCAAATAAGCCTTTCCTTATGTCTGTGTCACTGAGAAATAGCAGAATGTCTGATATATACGTTTTTCTTCGAAGCTTTGTATTACGACTGGTAGTGGATGGTAATCTCAGGAAAACGCCTCCTTTAACCAAAATTATCAGTTGTTTACGTCTTTGGTTTATATATATTATATCATATTATATCATATTATACACACACATATATACATATATATATATATATATATATATATATATATATATATATATATATGTATACTTATACATATATATACATATATATACATATGCATATATATATGCATATATATATATATATATATATATATATATATATATATATATATATATATATATATATATATATATACGTATTTATATGTATATTATATGTATATATATATATATATATATATATATATATATATATATATATATATATATATATATATATATATACATATATACACATACACACACACACACACACACACACACACACACACACACACACACACACACACACACACACACACACACACACACACATATATATATATATATATAAGATAGATACATATGTATATATACACACACACACACAACACACAACACACACACACACACACACACACACACACACACACACACACAACATACATATATACCATATATATATATATATAACATATATATATATATATATATATTATATATATTATATGTATATGTATATCCTCAACACACACAACACACACACACTCACACACACACACACACACACACACATGCTGTGTGTGTGTGTGTCCCCCCCCTCTCTCTCTCTCTCTCTCTTCTCTCTCTCTCTCTCTCTCTCTCTCTCTCTCTCTCTCTCTCTCTCTCTCTCTCTCTCACTGTGCGTGTGTGAGTGTGTGTGTGTGTGTGTGTGTGTGTGTGTGTGTGTGTGTGTGTGTGTGTGTGTGTGTGTGTGTGTGTGTGTGTGTGTGTGTGTGTGTGTGTGTGTGTGTGTGTGTGTGTGTGTGTGTGTGTGTGTGTGTGTGTGTGTGTGTGTGTGTGTGTGTGTGTGTGTGTGTGTGTGTGTGTGTGTGTGTGTGTGTGTGTGTGTGTGTGTGTGTGTGTGTGTGTGTGTGTGTGTGTGTGTGTGTGTGTGTGTGTGTGTGTGTGTGTGTGTGTGTGTGTGTGTGTGTGTGTGTGTGTGTGTGTGTGTGTGTGTGTGTGTGTGTGTGTGTGTGTGTGTGTGTGTGTGTGTGTGTGTGTGTGTGTGTGTGTGTGTGTGTGTGTGTGTGTGTGTGTGTGTGTGTGTATGTATATTGTGTCTATGCATAAGATAAATGTGTATGCGTGTATGTACTGTAGAGGACGTTTGTGTATATACCCGTTTATATCTTTATATTTACTTTTTTTAATAGTTTGTAGAATAATCTAAAATCGGCGTATCTGAGAAGGGACCATTGTGATAAATATTTACATAACAATGCGCCCAGTTTGAGTTTCCTTCCCATCTCCAGAGAGAGAAAACCCTTGTGAAAGAAAGAAACGTTTCCTTTTCAAAGCAAGACATTCGAATTTGACAATGTCTTGCAAATCACTAAAACGAAAACACGATGAAATGGAATCCATTGTTGATTCAGTGGGTGAGAAACCAAAAGCTGTTTTGTTTTTAGTCCAAGAAGGGATTCAGGGAAAGCGATTTCAACTAATGAAGAATTTTGCTGCAAAGAACGGATTTGACTGTGAAGATCAGCTGTGTGAAAGGTAGGAAAATTAACATGCTCTAATGTCAAGTAATCATAATAATCTCCTTGCCTTTAGTATACAAAGACCAACAAACCATCAACAGGTATATTAATTTTAGTAAGAGCTTCCTCTTCGATGATTATTTGGCAGGCAGAACTGTAGGCTCTACCTGTCCAGAATGCACCTCAACCTGGTTGAATTTATTGGCCTTTCTTGGGTGTTCTTCAAATATTTACCTTATTGAAACTCTTAGGGCTTAGTAGATTATTAGTAAAGTTTTCATCCAATATTTACATAGCTGCAGGAATCTAGCTATGATGTCAGTCATGATAAACGTCTATGTAGCAGCAAAATTGTGAGTGCACTGTACATTAAGCCCTTCACTACATGTAAGAAATTATTGATTATTGTTTTCTATTACAATTATCTTTTGCAGAGTAACACATGTTATCTCGGAGCTGGATAATGTTATGCAGATTAAAAAGTTGTATCCACAGCTGTCTGAGAACTGTCACATTAAGATAGTTACATCTCAGTGGATGTATACTTGTGTTCGGTAAGTACTATTCTTCCTCAGTCACATTAATGTAGTCAGTTTTTTGTGACACTTTTTTTTATTTATTGAATTTCTTATGGGAATTATATACATTTTCTTTCAGGCAGAAAATGCATGTACCGGAAAACAATTTCCTATTAGAGGGTTATCACCAGTGGTTAGGGGAGAGCCTACAAGATGCTCAGAGTTCAAGTAAAAGAAGTGAATTGGAATTACAAAGGAAACAAGTAGACAGCAAACTGAAAGTAACAAAAGATACTGGGGAGATGGGTAAATCATCAGTAAATTCTTATGTTGATTTGATATATAGTTTTGCATTTATTGATATTTTTAGTTCACATAGAAGCTAGATTTTATTTGTTACATATTTGCAAGTCCTCATATTAAGATTATCTAACTTTCAGTCAAATAATGTATTTTGTATTATCTGTTTGCAGGTCACACAGAGCATGATAAAAAGGTCTTCAATGAGAATATCCTTGAACGAAATGCTAAATTACAGCACTATAATATGAAACTGGTTGTAAGTGTTATGTGCACCAAAACCTATAGACATTTATTGAAATGTGCTGAAGTCATTCAATATAGCCTATTTTATTAATTTAGAAGAAAAAAGGAAATATAAAGATTATCAATATACATTTTGAGTACTGACATATTCCACTTATTTCCAGGAGCCATTAACATTTATGAACAATTACTGGACTGTCATGGGTGATGAAAGAAGAGCACTAGCATATGCTAAAGCTGCAGCCACCGTCAAATGTCTTCCTTTCACAGTCATGACAATGGAGCAGGTAAGATTAGTACTTTTTGAATAAAGATGAGTACTGGTATTTTTTGTTTGAAACACATGACCTATAGAGATGTGTATCTTTATGCATGATAAATTTTGGTCTTCTAGGGTAAATGGCAGTAGGTCATAGGAGATCTTTAATAACCATCCCTCGTATGTATATATGTATGTATGCATCCATCCATAAATACTTAAAGTGACTTTTTAACCAGACAATAAAACTAGGCAAATTTTGGAATTGTAATTTATATAATATACATCAGCATTATGCAATTTATATAATAATATTTTTTGTGTCAGTAAATATTTTGCTTATAGATTGAAGAGCTGAAAGGTTTGGGAACTGGACATTGTCTTAAGGTAGTGCAAGAGGTTCTCAGAACAGGAACTTGTATAGAGGTCACAACCAAAGCACAATCTGAAAAGTATATAGGACTAAAGGTAAAGGTTATAAACTGTTTTTGAAAAAATAATGCTTTGCAGTATATCATATTATATTGTTATAGTTGCCACATTAGTTTATTGCATGGCAATCTTGCTCCTTTCAGAACTTGACTAGTGTGTATGGCATTGGTGCAGGTCTTGCAGAGAAGCTTTATACAGTTCATAAATTAAGAACTGTTCAAGATTTGATCACTCATTGGAATCACTTGAAATTAGCAGATGAGAGGATCAAGTATGGTATGGATTTACTGCATAAGTGTAATAAGAAACTAAATCTGTTTTTGATATGTAGGGAAAATGCTGTACAATAGAATTATTCTAGGTGACATTTAAGGTAATACTTTGTAAAGCTTTTTACTATATAGTCACCTTCAACCATTTCTTGATATAGGTTCAGGTTGTGGGCATTCAAGAGACAAATCTTTTTGAAATGATATGAATGAAAATTAGTTTACAAAATTAATTTATGGTAAGATTCAGTTGTTGATGTTTGAATCAGAGTGCACAGAAATTTGCTTTTTATTGTTGTAAAAATGTATTTTACCTGTGATTATAGGTTTCATACTATTTTTTGTCAACAGAAAGAGAAACTAGGGAATCTTAAGAACAATTAAACCTTTATAACAGTAAGAGAACAAATCTTAGAAAATTCAGTTTGAAATGTGTTTACCCTATAGTGTAAAAAGCAGAATCAAGAACCAAACTTCAAATAGGAAAAATTAAAGTAGTCTTGGAAAATGTCCATGTCTACTCTTCCAGTCCGACTTTGACTCTTAGAATTGCTGACACAAATATGGGGCAGTATGTATAATGATAAAAACACAGCCCTTACTACATGCTGAGACTGTGCAGTAAAATTTTGTCTGACTTGTACTCAATTATAATGTGATGGAATATTTGTAGCTACTGGTGGTAGGTATATTTAAGTTGCAAATTTGCCCATGTAAGTATTATTTTAATGGTTCCTGCAAGTGTGAATGTTGAACAAAATTATTTTGGTATGTATGAAAATGACAAAAAAAAAAAATACAAGGAAAGTTAGCTTTAGTGAAAGAAATATTGTGTTACAGATTTTGTGACATTGAAAAGCTAAATGTCTTGTTAATCCTATCTCATTTATCCCTAGCATCACAGCAGGGTCTCAAACCTGCCCTTTAGACTAGAATGAAATCATTGATATATAATCAGTAGTATTGATGATATTGCTTGTGAGGTAAAATTATCTTTGTAATTTTTAGAAAGTGGTTCAGCTTTCTTGTGTTTGTTGAAAATTTTGATGATAAGATATCTTTGCATTTGAATAATAGACTTTGTTTTCAGGAATTGCATACCACCATGATCTCAACACTCCAGTGACAAGAGAAGATGCTGGAAAGATTGAGTCCATTTTAAAGGAACAGCTGAATTATATCAAGTCAGGGTATACACTTGAAATGACTGGTGGATTTAGGAGGTGTGTTAAGTTCTAAAACATAGATAAGAAAACATCAAAGACAAAGAATAACCTGGAAAAAGCAGTAGGTACAAGAGCATAACAGACTTATATTCATTACTGTCT